CAAGCAAACTGCCAGATAAAACCTACAGTCCTTCAGTTTCTGTTGCCCAAAGAACTTTTACTTCCTGAGCTTGTCTCAGGTTTTAATCACTGCTCTCTGCTGCCAGAATGCTAAAGCACTATTCTTCCACACAATACTATAGTTGTCCATTATCAAAGCAGTGGGAGAATCTGAGCAGACAGCGGGTTGGCATGGTAGATAGCAGTGCTGCACACAGCTATGCAGCTTGACTCTCTTTTCAGGCATGTAGTCCAGTGTGCTGACCTTGCACTTTCTCCTGTGGTCAGAGAGGCCCTGGAGGTTCATTGGCCAATGCACTGGGAGCAGGAATGACTCGCCTCACTTCTGGGCTGTATTTTAACTACTCCCACCAGTCCCTCTAATACTCTCCTCCCTTGCCACATTGTCCTAGGAATCATGTTTCCAGGGAACGAGGTAAGGGACTGCAAGGGGCTATAAAGAGGACTCCTCCCTGGAGTCACCAGGACCCATAATAGGAAATACACCTGTTTTGTGTGTCAAGGTACTGAGATTTCAGTGGTGTCAACTACAGCATAAACCCAACCTATGCTGACTTGGGGAGGGTTCGAATTCCCTGCAAATCATCAGCAGTGTCTTGTCCCTCCAGGCAAGTTTGTTCATGGATTCCTGGTCTTTGAAGACACACTTTGAGCCAGTTTAACAGTGATAGGAATTGCAGGCTCTGCAGTTAGAGAGCTGGGGTTCAAATCCCACTGAACCTCAGAGGTATGGGCTCAGGCACATTAATTCCACTTCCTGGGCCTGAGCTTCTTTATTTGTAAAGGGACTTTAAAAAGTAAGAATGCTATCTCACATAACTATTAGGAAAACTTGTAAGTTAAAATTAATATATGCAAAACAATTAGATAGCCTGGTACATGGTACATCTAGCAATTAATTTTTAGGGTTATTCGCTACTATCAGTAAAATCACTATAGCCTCTTTTCTGGAAAAGCATTTTGTTGTAGCATCCCCAAATGGATAATCAAAGCCATCTCTCTTTAGAAACTGTTTTGTAAAATATCCAAACTGTTAGTCTCACTACTGTTCTTCTGCAGCAGTTCCTAATTCCTGCCACATTATGTAGTTGATAAGCCTAGAGCAAATGGGGCAACACAAGAAAGAGGATGCATGAATAAATCAATGCCCATTAGCCGAAAAGGCACAGCTCAGAAGTCCCTAAGACCATTCCCCTGAACTTATCAATGGATAACAGAGATAATTTATCAATGGATAACAGAATTCTAATGCAGAATGTACACTGTTGAATAGTTTATAATTAATGCCATCTGTATAAATGTTTCCACTACAGAACTGTAATAAAACATTTTTTACTTGGACCTTATGGTAAGCAAGGGTGTTCTCTTCTATCACGAAGACTCATTGTCAAGCATCAACCACTAAATTATGTCTTGCTTCTCTAACCACCAAGACTTGCTTCTTGCAAGTCATGTCAACCACATAAAACCTTTCAATTTCTTTCTTTCAAAAACATTGGCCCTCAGCACTCCATCACATTGATCCTGGCACAGACATCCTTAACAAGATCCTCAAAGCACAAGAAATAAAACCAACAATCAGTAAGTGGCGTGACATTAAGCCAAAAAGTTTCTGCACTATTTAGGACATAAAGAGACAGTCTATAGAATGAGAGAAAATCTTGACCAACTACTACTTTAATAGGGGATTAATATCCAGAATATACAAAGAACTCAAAAAACTTCACACACACACCCCAAACAAAAACTCCGAATAACCCAATCAATAAATGGACAAAAGAACTAAACAGAAACTTTTCAATAGAAAAAACAAAAATGGTCAACAAATACATGAAAAAAAGTTCACTATCTCTAGCAATCAGGGAAATACAAATTAAAGCTCATCTCATTTTAGTCAGAATGGCAATAATCAAGAATACAATCAGTCATAGATGCTGAAGAGGTTGTGGGGAGAAAGGAATACTTGTACATTGTTGGTGGGACTGCAGACTAGCACAATCACTCTGGAAAGCAGTTTGGATATTTATCAAAAAAACAAAAACAAAAACAAAAACAAAAAAAAAACAAACAGGGATGGATCCACCATATGACCCAACTACCCACTCCTGGGTCTTTTCCCAAAAGATCTAAAATTGGCATACTATAGTGACACAGTGACATCATTGTTTATAGCAGCATGATTCACAATAGCTAAATTATGTAGTCAACTCACATGCCCATCAATAGATGAATGGATTAAGAAATTGTGGTATATACATACAATGGAGTTCTATCAGTCATTAAAAAGAACGAAATTATGGCATTTGCCAGTAAAAGGCTAGAAAAGGAGAATATTATGCTAAGTGAAATAAGACAAACTTAGAAACTCAAAGGTCAGAATGTTTTCTCATGTCATGAAGCTGAAATAAAATAAAGGAGAGGGGAAGGGAAGGATAAGATTACATAAGGAACCAATCAATTAATAGACGAGTAAAAGGAAGTCCAGTAGATTAGAGGAAGGAGAGGGGGAGGCAGGAAGGATAAAGGGGATCTTTAGGGATCATGAACTGAAAAAGATTTCTATGCATGCATGAGTTTTTGGGGATGAACCCAACTATTATGTATAACCATAAAAGCTCTAATAAAAAAAGTTGATCCTGAATAAATTCTTAATGATAGAATTATTTACGTATAATTTAACCCTTTTCCTTTTAACTGTTGCATAGTCTGGCACTAATTCATAGTAAAAACTCTGGTTAAGTTTTATTCAGCCCTTGTTCTCCTGTTTAGAAGTATCTATTATCTAACTCCCATAGCAGCCCTTAGGTACTACTACAGTCTCATTATTCCCCTTTTAGAGATGAATAGAGATGAAAACAGCTATGGCTTAGTGAGCATGTTAGAAATCATTTCAGAGGGGGTTAGTAATTTAGTAAGGGGGTTACAATTACTAATTAGCAGATAGGATTCAACTATCCAACACTAAATCTGCTTTTATCAGAGCATACATTACATTAGAGTATCAGGTCTAAGTCTCAACCCTATGTCACTATTTGTGTGACAGTTGACCAATCTTTGTGTGCCTTAGTTTCATCTATAAATCAATGGGTTATGAGCAATCAGTGAGTTAGAAGATGCAAAAAGCTTACTGGTGTCTGGCACTGTCAGTAAGCACAGAGTTATTCTCAGCTCTTAAAAACATTGTTATGCTGTTGCCTACAACTGATAAAATACATAAAACTACAAAGTCAAACAAGCTGATTTTGTGACACAAGTTCTTGTAAAAGCTTTGGAGAGATAGGAAGGCACGATGTATCTTGGTTCCCAGAGCTATTTCTACTTTTCACACACAATATTTGAAACAGCACATGGCTTAAAAGTAACTGAATGTACTAGCTGTAATCCCTAACCAGACTGAATGCTTCACAACAGAATAAAGTCTGTTTCATTCTCCCTTCTAAACAACTGTTAATATCTCACTTTATACAACTCAGCTATTAGAGTACTTGTTAGAAGTAAAAAAACAACAGGCCTTTTTGCGAAGTTCAGGACAACCTTTCAAGTGCCCAGTTCAGAACTTCCTTTTTTTTTTTTTGCCATTTTGAGGACCTAATTGTGTGATTTCCAAGAGGGACTAGAACCACAAAGAGGGAGAGGATGGTTTAGAGGAAGTCTATAGATAATAAAAGAAACAATGCCAAGAAGGGTATTAAAAAGAAAAAAGGATTTTGATAGTAAGAGGGAGCATTCGGTATAAAAACAAACACTCCTTTTATCTCAAATATGTCCACGAGGGAATCACTAAATTATAGTCATCTAGAGACATAAATGAGAAACATAAGTAATGAATCTTTATGTATACTGGCAGCAAAGTTTGTGGCTTGAAATGTGCTATGAAGAGACTTTAAAATATTGAAAAAAAAAGACTAAAATCTCAAACACCACTAGTGTCATTTTTCACCAATTCCTTAGTGATAAATACATATTTTAGGGGATAGTTATTATATGTTCATCAGTATGAGATAAATTTGGTGATGAAATAGTTGGAATGACTAGCAGAGTCCCATAAAATTGGAAGATCCAGTGAACATTTCATAGGTGTCTTTAATCTCACCTGAACCATTTCTATGAGAACATGTATTCCAGTCTGGGAGCATTTGCTGAAGCAGATGTTTTGTTGCTTAGGTTTGAAGTGGGGCTTGTGGGCCTGTGACAGATGAGTGGCTTTCCGACTAAACAGGCTGCTTTCCTGATTACTGACCAATAGGGGTGGGTTCTTAATTTTTTCAAATGAAGAACGATTTGTAACTTTTGACTCCCCGTAGGAAAAGTAGTTTTAAAATAGCTAAATATTGAGTGCGAGTTGTCACTTCCTGCCCCCAAATCCTGGTTGATACTGAAATATCTGAGAACTGGCACAGGGCTAAGACTGGACAGCCTGTTAGGCAGTGGATTATAGGTTGGCACTTGGCTCAGATCTATAGTAATTCATCTCATGGATACAGACTCTACTGAATATCCACAAGGCAGTTTACCACATATGGCTAAGTCTAGAGGATCATTCTTTATTGGTATTTTACTCTGAAGATAGGACATCCGATATGCTATATGAGAATCTTAAAAAATGTTTTTTATTCAGACACCCTTTCGGAGGATTCTGAGTTAAGAGGCCAATTTGACCTCCTTGGGTCAGCACACTGGGTGCCAGGCCACAGAAAAAAAGCACATATTTCTAAGAGCACTAGGGGCATCACATTTGCCTGGACTTTCCACAAGAGATCATGAAGCCTCTCTAGTTCTGAAGAGTTAAATGTTAGAGCTGTGGGGAATTTAGTCAGGCAGTGGATTGTGGCACAGACAGAAACAGGATCCCTCCTCAAATAATTGGTATAAGAGGTTATGTCATACAAATATCTGTCTTCTGGTTCAAATATCCCAAATCAATCGCGAATCAGTTATAATTCATGTAAGATCAAAAAAAGAAACACATACACAAGAAAGTCTGTTTTAACCTGAAATAATTCTGTTGATATTTGAATTGCTTTCATGGGACATTTGCTTTAAACCACAAGATATCTCCATCTCCAAGTACAAAATCCCTTCTCCCCACCCCCCACCCAAACAAACAAGAAAACAAACAAAACCCCAAACCCACAACTCAGCTTCAAATAAGTTTGGAAGAAATGAGACTCTAAATATTTACATATGGGGCAAGAAATAAATCACAAAACTATTTACAAAAATACACAAGCTTATATGCATTAACAATTTACACCAGTTCACAAAAATATTAAAACATAAAAAAACACTATATAAATTAAAGAAATCAAAAGTATGATCTAAGACTTCCTAGGGTGCTTCTCTCATGCAGGTCATGGTTGAAAAATCAGGTTTTGCTATCTCAGAATCTAAACTGTAAAACAATCATTTTTATTCTTTGAACATTAACAGTACTAATCAGATAAGAAAAAAAGACCCTCTGTGGACACCAACATTATCTTGCACATATTAAAAATACATCATTCCTGACATTTCCATTACACAGTACTGACAATCACATGCCTCTAACCATTTGGAAGAAACTTTCTGACATACTTTGACTTTCTTATTCATTTCCTTGCACTCTCTGTTCAGACCATACTTTGCCAACATACTGAATAGGTGACCTATAGGGATTGAACAGATAAATGGATTTTACAGGCTCCTTCTTGAACTAAAGGGGCAAATTTCAAATATACATCATAAGCATCTATTTCTGCTTCAAATGTGATACCCACTCTTCTATCCCAACTCACGTTCATGGTCCCTCTTCTTCACAGAAGTAGCTCTAGAATTTTTCAACCTGACCTAAATATTTAAAAATGCGTTGCCTTCCTAAGGAATTGTGCAGGCCTTACCCTTGGGACCATCCCAGGGAGTTCTTCAAACTGAGCATTTAAAATATGTGAATGAAAAGGAAATTTATACAGTAAGAAATAAGGCTCAGATTAAGTTTATTATAAAGAATATGGCATCCTTGGGACTCTTAGAGTCCCTAGCCAGACATCCAGGGAATACTTATTTCAATCAAACTGAACTGTGGAATCAGAGTTTTTTCAAAAAGATAAAATCTGGAGACATGGCTCAATAAATTAGGGGTTTAATGCATAAGGCAGTTCCACTTCCTTGATCATAATGCTCCATGTCAACGTCTGAAAGTAATAACATTCAATTACTGTATTTGTAAAGTCACACACAAAGGTGAACAATGCTGAGGTAACCTGGCTCACAGTGATTTGCCATCTGATTTCTACCCCACATATTAGGAAGGAAAAGATGTGGGCAAAGTCTTTCAAATAACTAAATCCAAAGTTAAGGCTGTTGCTACATAATTAACTAAACTATAGATTTTATTTAAAGTTTGTGTTTCACACTTATACCAGTAATCTGAATTTTCTATATTCAAAATATTTACCTGATATTTCCAAACCCATAGGACATTATTAATAAAGAAGTTGTTCTGAGAAATTAAACATCATATTTATAAAATTGATTTTAGTTTCAGGAATAAACAATGTGTGTGTGACAACAAATTGTATTAAAATTGGCCTGGACTTCATTCACTACTTCTTTCTGGGCCCTCAGTTACTGAAGCCATGTGTCTCCTAGTTACACCAGCCCCCTCTTGCTAACATCCAGACTGCTGGTGAGAACTTTCAGGGCTGGTATGATCTCCAAGGAGCAAGGGATTGCCTACTTGATAAAAAGATGAATAAGGTTAAAAAAAATTAGTGCTGCATATTCACCAGAGATCCAACTCTTCAATGTAGCACCCAATATGTTTGTGTGCCAGATGGAAGCATCCTCTCAGGTTTTCTAACATAAACATTTTCTAACATCAGTTGGGCCTGCACTCTTAATGTAAAGGCCTAAACTTCTACAGACATTTCACATATTGGGTTTTCAAGATCTTTACTCTGGTTCCTCTGATCAATTCTGGGGAACAAAAGAAAACCTTATAGAGTATTTTCAGATATAAATATGTTGCTCTGAAATTTTTTGTTTTCTAAATATAAACCCCTAAAATGTAATCACGTTTTTAAATTAAAAAAAGAGGACTGGCATGAATCCTAATCTTTACACAATTTCACAGCAATAATAGCAGCATAATTTTAGCCTCTTAAAAGATTTCTTCTTTTGCTCTAAATAAAAGATAATTCCAAGTTCTAAAAAGCCAGAGCAGCAACCATCCAGTAAATGGAATAAAATCTCCTGTGTATTTTATAAGCTGAACATTTACAATATGTGAATGTATAAAACTCAAGTATTATCACAAGTTATGGAATGGAATGACAATCTTAGCTCACACAGTAAATATAGGACTGTTCTGCTAGTCTGGTGGACCTGTGGTGGGTGGGCTGGGAAACAAGAGTAGAGTTAGGCTAGACAGATGTTCTGTTCCTACTCTGATAAGGAATGAACTTTCAAAAGAAAGTCCTAGATATTAAACATGTTTAACATGTCTACAGAGTTATAAAGAGCTATACCTGAAATGCTGGTGTGGATGATAATTACAGTAAGACCGTGATCATATGAATACAGAGTAAGCAAATACTGAGTGACTCCTTAGAACATTATGGTAGCTGCTGGAACTCTAACTGGTGACATGGGGCTGTGTAATTGGTAGTTACTGCAACAATGACATGTAGTACAGATAATTTGCAGTTACTGTAAGAATTCCTAGGGAACATATACTCTGGTTTAGAAACAGAAATTATCACATAAATCTATATTCCTGAAAATAGTCATAAAACGCTGTTTTTTTCTTTAATGGGAAAAGGTTGCTAATTTAGAAGAACAAGTACTGTTAACATTTTACTGGAATCCCAATTTACTAAATATTATTGGGTGGGGGGAATCTGCAGTCAGGCATCACATGAAAAGCAATGATACAGCTTTCTGGTGTTAATAAAGTTAATTGACAATAAGAATTTCACATTCTTTTGCCTCGGATATTTCCCTAAATTCTAACTTGAAGAATTCCTCCTGGGGTGACATGAGCTTGCTCACTGTGAAGAGACTACTGAATGTTTAAAGTCTTAAATTTCTTTATGTTTTAATTATAATGCTCCAATTGTCTGACTTACCTGAATAAGGGAGTTTTCTCCACTCTAATTTAACATACAACCAAAAGTTAATAAATTATTAATATAGGATGACTAAAAAAATAATTTAATAACACACAAGCCCCTTCTCGGTCAAGATGAATGAAGTGATAATGGAAAGAAGTGTCCATGTGGGCAGGCTGTGCAGCCACTGATGGGGGCGTAGAAACATGACAGTAAATGCAAAAACCCACCAGGAAATAGATGTAAACTGCTCTGAACTAGGTAGCAAGTGCTAAGAAGAAAAGACAAAGTTAAATTTAAATTCAGTTAAAGGCAGTCCTCAGGCTCTTATAAATTAGCCCTATATGGCAAGTACGGTCTGTGACAAATTTCTTTACTAGGTTTTCAACACAGTGCTTTACAATCATTCAGATCTCTTTTAAAGACAAAAATGACACAGTCTATAGATGAAAGAGGTGGTAATGAAGCAGGAAAGGGCGGGGAGGATGGTGATTTGTTTACTTTTATTATATTTTCTTTTTAACGTGGTCAGGGGTTTTGTAGATTTTTTTTTAATCTTTTTTGGTTATTGAAAAAAATAGAACAGTCCACTGTCCAGCAGAGGCTGCTTCAACTCTATTGCTCCCGGGGCTCATTCTGCATGAATCTGTGTGTCAGGATGTGGCAAGGACAACTCTGTGGGCAGGAAAGCCCCTTGACCCAACGCTGTAGCATATGTCCTGCTCTGTGGGTGGGCAAAACCAGAGGGCACATATGTTCCCATGCCCCCGCCTCCAAAGCCTCCTCGCTGGTGCTGGGGCAGGGAGTGGTAATCCTCCAGGTTGTCATATTGGGACACAACAGTCATATTGCTCTGGCGCTTGCTGTGCGTTTGGTACTGGTATAGCACACTGGGGTCCCTTTCCATGTTCTGGGTATGATGAAGTTTTAGGCTATGGCTCCTCTCTGGCTTAGGGGGTGGGACCATTGACTGAGTGAGGTGCTCCTCCTCTTTGTAGCAGTCTCTGGAGTGTTTCTCAGGGGCAGGTGGCTGCCTGGCTCGGGGCCGCTCCAGCTCTTTGGAGAGCCTCACTTCTTTGTGGTTCAATCTTAAGGACTCCTGCCCTGTGGTGTATTTCCCTCCAGAATTATGGTAGCTGCCTGGCTCAGAAGTGTCTGGAATTGTTTTGGGCCCATATTCTAACTGGCCAGTTGCCTGGGGGTACGGTGGCCCATTTTTTGATTCACATAATTGCCTATGGCTTGCTTCCTGATGCACCCTGTGCTCTGGGAGACTACAACCCATGTCATGAAGCTTTCTATTCCTAAGGCTGCTTTGCTTCTGAGGGAGGGTTGGCTTCTCTGCCTGTATACTGCCATACCCTCCATGGTGGGGGGCTCTTTCAAACTCTGGCTCTGGATGCTTCCTATAGAAGCGGTCGTCTCCCTCAGGACTCATGGCCTTGGCTGGGTGCCGCCCCTCCTTTCCTTCTGCCACTGAGAGAAGTCCAGTTTTCCCAGGATCTGATTTACTGCGCAGATGGATGACATAGATCCCACCCAGGTCATCCTGCACAGCTGGGGTCATGTTGTCATACTGAGACATAACAGGCGCTTTCACCTTCTGCCGTGCACGGCTCTCTCTCCGGATAGACTGCATTCGATATTTTTCCATGTCCTCTAGATCCCACGAGGCATAGGTGTGCTTTACATCAGCAGGTGGAGGCATGTTTACTACATTATGGTCATTACCAGAGAAATAGCCAGTCATGTTGGTCCGCGGGCGTGGAGGCAAACCAGAGTAACTGTACAAGTTCTTGCCTTGTAGCCTGGGATTGTAGAAAGCAAAATCACGACTTGGCAGGCGATGAAGGGGCCTCAACTGTACTGTGCTATAGGCATCCACATCACACAGGGCCCCATCAGGACTGTAATAGGAACTAGAAGAACTGGAATATGGACTATAGCGGTAATGGACCCGTCCATTCTCAAAGTAAGGCTGAAGCTGAGTTACATGATAATCTGAGCGGGCCTGGGAGGACTGATATGGCTTAAACTGGTACAGGGGCCTTGGGCAGTAGGCTGGTTCATCATCTGGGGGAACTTCTGTCCGTGAAATGGGAACAGAACGAATCATGGAAGATGGGGGAGCATGGAGAGATTGCACCCTCCGGATGGTAGGGTATGGTGGAATATCTTCAGGATAGCAAGCATTCCTAACTGAGGAGCTCAAAGAAGAAACATACTCCATCCGGTTGCACGGCTTGGAGTGGTGTCCAGACGTGTTTCTTCCCGGGGCCACATAGGTGTTATAACGAGGACCCATGGAGGCTGGTGGCTCTGATCGGGCACCATACACTTGGTGTTGCTCCAATTTATTATGATGTGGAGGTACACTCTGGGGACGGAATTGGCAGTTTGGAGTCATATTGAAATGCAAACAGTTTTCTGGACCAAAGGGCTCAGCGGTGACATCAGGCCTAGCAAAGGAGGAATAAGCTATTTTCTGAGAAGCATGCTTAGGTTGTGGGACAGGCAGTGGCAAAGGCAACACATCATCCACTGAGGCTGATGACGCAGTGACAAAGGAGTGGTAATTTGAACTGCTGGTGGCATCTGCACTGTTGGAGTGCATGGCGGCAGCCATCTTACTCTCCATTGTCCTGGTGGGGGGCATTGGTGCAGAAAAGCCACAGGAGTGCCCAGGGAAGGACTCGGCTCGCATGTGGAGCAGTGGGGCCCTGGTACTCTCCCGCACTTTCTCAGGCAGGCCTGGCTGGAGAGTAGTAGTAACCATAGGACACTGAGCAGCAGCTGCACAGCTATCACTGACAAAGATGGGTGCAGGGTCATCCACGGCTCGAGGTTCAGGTGGCCTCTCTGGAGCTGGAACTACTCCGTGAACCTATTCAAAAATGAAAATATTATGAGTCCATTTTTTTTTACACTCCCCTTATGAAATCAAATGCTATTACATTTGTAACTCACAAACTGAGGCTATTTAGGTAGCAGCTTGAACCTTCCCAAGCCATGCAGTTGTACTGGACCTGTTCCCACTGGCAGGAAAAGGAGCCTATGCTGCTACCTGGTATATTACCATCTTTGGAGAACTGTTCAGGGTTTTCTCCATTTGTGATGGGTTTTAAATATGAGAGGAGGTTGCCTATGATGATGTCTTAATGTGAAGACCGAAAGGTTTGTCAAATAACACTGTCAAGCTTAAAAATAAACATTTGCCATACTGCTCTAGCTTAGTCTCAACATCAAGAACATTTTATTCAATAAATATAATTGATTCCATCATCTGGAAGTGATTCACAGTTGGACACAGTGAGAAGTTGTGAACCCCTAATACAGGGAAGAATACAAAAGTGACTTGTCCAAGGTGGCATTCAAGTCAGAGGTTATCTCTCTCCCTACCTTTGACCAACTCATTTGTAGACCCATAGGCCAAATACAATCCTCACAGAAATAAGCAAATAAGCTCTCTCTGAAAAGTAATTGCTAGAACTAGCATCCTCCAAGGAAGGACCACAAATTTAAGTCCTTTCAGTTGAAGGTGACCACACACAAAAAAAACAAAAAACAAAAAACAACAAAAAACCTGTGTTACAACTTTTAGCATTTTGCATATAACATTCTCTCTTCAAAATACATACTTGACTATGGAGCAATCTGCTGGTTAAGGTTGAGAAAAATAACAAAAAATCCTAATGTACTAAAATCTTCCACACTTCTAAAACAGGCAGAGATATCTTCAGAGTGAGGCATTTTCATTGAGTAAATGGGAATGATTGGCATAGTGTAGTTAAATGACTTGCCCAAAGTCACGGTGAGTCAGTGATGGATTTCCAAAAGGGAAAAAACAAAAAACAAAAAAACCCCACATGCATGACAGCTAAAGCCCAGTTTGTCTCATGTTATCCCTTTGTATAACCATAAAGAAATGTAGGAAGAAAAGGTACCAGGTATAAAATTGTAGTCATATGGTAACTGCTGCAGCAGCCAGGCAAAGGCAGAACCCTAACTTCAAACCAGAAGTATTTCATGGAAACCTGCCATAAGTGTTAAAAATTATGTTGTATTCAAATACAGTTGTTATCAAAGATAACAACACGCCCTGCTGAAAAATGACATACCTTTGGAAAAGCATATTTCATCTCACCAACCTCCTCCCTTCTTACCTTGTGGGAATTATTCAGTCCTATACTGGTTGCAGCTTGTACTTGCCCCGCGACTGGCAGCTGCTCTGTGGTCCTCTGGGCAGGAGGCGGGGGGAGAGGGCGATGACTTCTGTGTGTGCGCTGAAGGGTAGCAACAGCAAACCCAGTGGCAGTGGGCTGTTCACTCACAGCCCAGCTGGCATCCCTGGTGCTTATTTCAGCTGTTGCTGGAGTCGCTGTCATGTAAGTCATGGTGGCTGTGCTGGTATTCTCTTCAGGGGACCCAGAAAGAGGACAGCTTTTGTCTCTAGGCAAATTTGAAGGCATGGAAGATTGGTCTGCAAGTTCTGAAGGGTGATGGGGCTGATCCACACTTGCACCAAGGTAGGCAGGAGACTGATCCTCGCTGTAGAAATGGAGTGCAGACTGGTCCTGCTCTACGAAGGGGATGGTTGCCACAGTGGTCTTCCCAGCCTGGTCTTCAGGGAAACCTACATGATCATCAGACTTTTCTGAGTCTGTTAAGGGAACTAAAGTAATTCTGGCCTTTTCTGGGTCCCCAGATAAATAGTTTCGATGTAGATGGTTTCCTGGTAAGTCTACTTGGTGGAGTTGCTCCCCAGATTCATTTACCTTGGTATGAGTAGGATCCCCAACAGCTGTTGTCTCTGGGAGAGGCTGGTTGCAGTTTCCCAGTGCATTGTTCTGGAGGTGGAACTGCTCTGCTGGTCGATCTGTTTGGAAATAGGCCTTATCTAGAGAAATACTAGAGTAGGGACTGGGCAGTTTATCTTCAGCTGTAGCCCCTGCTATGTCTCCATAATTTGTGTACCCAGCCTGAGAAGTCCCTGGTCTCTTCAGTGACTGAGTAGAGGCTTGCTGCGCAGACTCAGCTAATGCTAGCGCCAACATTCGGGCGACATTTTTCGGAGGCGGTGGCGGTGGGATAAGAGAGACTGAACTGACAGGAACAGGCTCCTGAGGGGGGTCATGGGTAACTGCTCCTAGTGGGAAATTGGGAAAAAAAATGAGAATGAAAAGGTAGCTTACGTTATCCTATACGGAAAGCCAAACACTCCCCACTTGATTATTTAAAAACAGGTGCCTTCCATATTTCAAAATGGCAATCCATGATCTTCTATCCCACATGCAAATGCTGTAGAAAATACATCTCATTTGGAAGGAAAACTAAGAGTGCTTAAAGGTTGCAAGCTCCTCTTGAATTGCTATAGAAATGGGGAGGGGGCTCAGAAAAGATTGCTTAGAACACAAGCTTCAAGGCTTATGGATTGTTACTAAGGCTAGTTTTCACACTGGATGGTATAGGCTGTTAACTTGTAAGGCTACAATAATGATATTCATTAGAAGAGAAAATTGATTCAAGAGCTATGAAGTTGTACAAAAAATTATCAAGGAATTCTCACTGTCCATACAGGTAAGGGACTTTTGTGATGGTCTGAAGCAGGACTACAAGCTCTTTGGGGAGTTTTTGTTTGACTGACTTTAATGTAGGGCTTGAGCCATCTGCCAATGCTCAGAGAAGCATTCTCCTGGATTAAAGGCTACCTGTGGAGCAAATTTTCTCTTAAAAGGCACAGATGGATTTACAAGATTGAAGATCCCTCTTAATTTAAAGAAAGAATGGAGGAAAACAAACGGTACCTGTCTGAGTCTGTCCAGAAGCTACAGCCTTACTCTGACTGCTTGAGACAGACCGCTCCTCTTTCCCTGGCAACTCTATTTCTTCGGCAGCTACCTGGTCCAGGGGCTGGATTTCAGGTTCACATCCTTCTTGGGCCTCTCTCTCATTTGTTTTCATCTTTACTATTTGGGTGGGGGATCTATTTGTGACATCGCTTTCTTCTGGGCTTTTGTCCCAGGTTGGAGATGATGCATTCTGAGCTGCAGTATTTGAGCCAGTACTGATGGCTTCTGACACCCGAGGTGGAAGGGTCACTGAAATTGGCTCAGATATGTTCATGGAAGGCGATTTGCTTAGTTTTCGTCCAATCTTCGGAGAGAAAGCATAGACGACCTTTTCAGTAAATGAGGATGATTTGGATGACTTCTCTTCAGTTGGGCTTAGGTCCAGGGTAAAGAATGGACTCAGTTTCTCCTGAACTGGAGAGACAGGTTCAGAACTTGCTGTGCTTCCTGGAGTCTGAGACTGGCTACCACCTGGTTCTACATCCTTTTTACTGGTACATGGTTTATCCTTGGAGTATCCTAATGAATCTAAAAAGGAAGCACCACTCTCCAGGCATTCTGATTCGGCCTTAGGGGGACTACACTGAAATGACATTGGATCAAAATCCAGGCTGGCTACTCCAATATCTGGAGGGCTCAAGTCAACATCCTCAGCTGAATGAGGAGACAGGAGAGCTGGAATATGCAGCAGCCCTACCTCCTCCTCACTCTCATTGTCATGGGGCAGATTATCATAGGAATTACAGCGGTTCCCCAGCATTTCTCCATTAAAAGAGGCAGACAGGGCATCACTGCTAGATCGGGGTCTTCTGGGTCGGAAGAGCTTGGAATCACCTAGTAAAAATGGACAACAATGTCAAAGTATGAATGTCACAGGATATATAATGCTATGAGAAGCCACCTACTTGGTATAGCAGTAACTCACCATTTAGGTAAGAAAATGCAACTTTTCATTTTCTTTTTGTAAATTGTCTCAAGACACACAGATCATTGCAATAACAAAACTCCCCAACCAAACGCTAAATAGCAAGCACATTTCATATAATCAGAGGGAGAATGCAGTGCTTCATGGTTTTGATAAGAAAAAGGACCAGGACTCTTGAATTGTTATTGGTCCAACACTGACTCTTTGTGTGACTCTGGGCAAGTTTTTCATTTCTTTGTGTCTTATTGTATCATTAGCCTCACACATGACTTGTAAGGTAAAATAAATCACTTTAGATAGCATTTTGGACATAAAATAGCAAAAAAGGTTGTTTCTTTGGAGGAAATATCCTATGCTACCCAAATTTCAAAAAAAAAAAATCTTGATTAAATAGCATTAACATATACTTAAATGATTCCTTTCGAACACTTAATTTCGTTTTTTTTTTTAAATTTATAAGACTAGGCCTTCAGTTTCTCAAGTAGAGCCCTGGGGAGTGGTAGTATTATGCAATTTTATGATGTTGCTAAAAGTCCAACTGGTAAAAATGAAACCACTTATTCTATTAGACTTTTAATTGCCATAGTGAAAATGTAATATAAGAAGTGAGAAGCTATCTTAACATAAATATATATACTGACATATCTACCACTTAAAAACGTAATCTTGACCCAAATATTATTTTCCACTTGACATGAACCTAGCCCATTGCATTGTTTTAATAGATTATGCTGACTACAGTTTAATTAAAAATCTTGGAGAACTTTTCTAAGATTGTCAGCCACTCAGATAAAGTGATGTGGGAGCACTATGAATCACAAGGAAAATCACTGGTCCATGAAGATCTGGCAGTTAGAAAGGTTAATAAATGAAGATGAGAAAATTGATCACGATGATGATACAGGGATACTTGAAAAGCACATGATCTGAATATCAACAGATTAAGAAAAGCCCTTGGAAAATTAATGTAGTTTTTGATTATTTTTGTAGAAAGGGCCTTCTTTATAATCTGTAGCACAAATCAAGGATCAAATAAAGTTCTTACATTTGTCAAAAAATATTGTATCTTCTTCCAAGTCAATGTTGGTTTAATAAATAGTTGCAACTATAATTTAACTTCAATAAACAATATAATACACATTTATTTTAATATTTTAGTTTTGTTTGTCAAGTTATGTTGCAATAAAACCTTTTTCATTGTTAGCATGAAATCTTGGTCCCAATTTTAAACAGATCCATTTTACATTGCTTCTCCAAGTGCTAATTATCCTGGGACAATGAGACCAGCTATAATCAATCTGCTCTATGAAATTTAAGGTCAGGTTAAGCAATTTGCAAGACAACTGGTCTAAACATCAAAATGCTTCACTTTATATTTTGTAGCAAACATTAAGCTCCCACTTGTGAAAGTTAAAGAAGGAGACAGTTGTAATCCCAGTTTTTACTAGGCATTAATCAATATAAATGGTTAATTTAAAACATTTTAGCCATTTTAATGTAAATAAATAGTAATCCTGCCAAAATACTGCTGCCATATTAGAACAGCAAAGAATTGTAATCTGAACAATACTAAATACTAGAATTCTTGGAAATGATAATCAATAGTCTATTTATTAAGTATATATTTATAAAGTACACCCAATTGCTATGTTCATGTTCTCTTATGCAAGCTATCATGGAATAAAACAATTGATTCTTTCAGTCTTACCATCAACTGCATGAAGAGAAGTAAGAGACTCCTCACTTTTTGCTGAGCGAAGGGTCCCTTCTGCCCTGCCACCTGAAGAATCAAAACCAAAAAGTGTTTAGTTTTAATTTTGCCACATATTATACAGTTAAAGGGATCACTGTTTTTCCTAACACATGCTTAAATTTCCAAGAGTGGTTGGCTGTACAGATTAAGAGTCACATTCAATTTACCACCTTACTATATAAAGTGTTGTACTATTCTCAAATGGTGTCCCATGTTCAACTCTCTTTTCTAAAGGATCATGAACTTGAGCATAGAGATTAACTAAAAGACTTTTCTTGTGTATTTCCTAAAGACCAACATGATATCCAGAGATGATATCACATTAGACTCACAGTGGCCCCACCCTTAGTGACTGGTGTCCTTGCAAGAAGACAGAGAAACACAGGGAAAGCCCTGTGAAGATGGATGCAGAGACAGAGTGATGCTGCCTCAAGCCAAGAAATGCCAGGAGCCATCAGGAACAGGAAGATGCAAGGAAGGCAAAGAAGGATTCTTCCCTGGAGCACAGCCCTGCTGACAACAGTAAAAGAATGTATTTCTGTTGTTTTAAGTCACTTGATTTGTACTAGTCTTTTACAATAGGCCTAGGAAATACTTACAGTAATTTCAATTACATATGGTGAATCTTATTTACTAGACACCTCCATCCTCTCTCATCCATTGGTGGCATTGAGGGCACTTCCATTTTCCTGTTCTCCCTAATGGAGATATCACCCAACCCTCCTGTTCTTTGCCTACTTTCCTGACCACTTCTCACTCTATTCTCATGACAACTCTTCCTTTTATAGTCCTTTAATGATTGCTTTTCTTCAGAATTGTGTCTGTAATCTGCTTCTCTTCTCACCCTGCACCTATGCTTGAAACCCAATTCTTAGACCCTTGTTGATTAGGTGAAATCCCTACTTATTCTTCAATATTCAAATCTATTTTCTTACTACCAGCCCTGCCCCACAAGATCAGACAATGCCTATCATAGATATCTTATACAAAACTGCTTCAATAGCTATGATTATGCACTGAAATTTATTTCCTTATACATGGGACTTTCCAATTAAGATGCTATAGGCAGTATGCTACCTTAATTTTCTTTCTATCTATAGGGCCTGCTATCAAAATACCTAAGACACGCTTGGTACATGACTACAAACTGAATGAATGATGAATTAAATGAACTGAACATTACACTGCAAACATTACCTAAGGAAAAAATCCTTTCTAGATTCAGAAACTATTATCAGAACATGAATTTTAAACTATATTTGATTATAAGAGATATAAACCTCAAAGACATATTGAAACATAGTTTTGTCATTTTTCAAAGTTACAAAAATATCAATTAAAAAAAACTAGTATAGCAGTATTTGTTTATTACTAATAATATATAAGCTATGTTACAATACGCTTGAATTTTTAATCACTTCATCCTACATATAATCTACATGGTGTCCTTAAGAAATTGGGTCCCTCTTTGTATTACATATGATTTCAGGTTGGTGATAAAGAAATGGTCACGAAGACAATCCACCTGGACCACACAACTGTGTACATATTAAAGGATAGCCTATCATAACAACACATGGAGAATGTGCCCAGAAAAACAAAAGGTTATTACTAGGCAGTAGAGGGGACTTAGTAGACAAAATGCTTGCCAGCCACAGAACAGTGCTGTGGGAAGGCACTTACCTTTGAGAGCCATAGCTTTCATTTCTGAAGGCTCACTCTCATTACGCTGCAACTTCCGCTTAGAGACTGATGATGATTTCCCCAAGTTGAAAAATGAACGCCAGCTGCCCACAGGAGATTTCTTCATCTTATTTTGAGGCCTCTTTCTATGAGACAGAAAATAATTAATCAATGTTAAGACAGCCAAGAGTCTATCTTATAGAAAAAAAATGAACAAACAGTAGAAAGAACAAAACAAACCAAACAACCTGGAGAGGCACAGCTGAAAGAATAAACAAGCCCCCTCCTTCTACAGGGTACACGCAACACAGTGCAGCTAAAGCATGAAATGGAACTTAAAGGAACAGATTTGATTATTAGTAACCAGTTTCACAAAGATCATTTTTATGCATATCTTCATATTTAGAGCCAACATCACAAGCTGCAATGAAGTAAGAATAAGACACAAATGCGAATAGAACTATTCAGACCTCCAAAAATAAAACACAGTTGAATAAAATGATTTTAGTTATGAGTAGAGAGAATAAGAACAAAAAAAGAAAAAACTAGTATACATTTAATGCCAAACACTGCATTAAACACCTTATACATAGTATTTCTTTTAAATCAGATATAATTATATTAAGATATAATCATATTCTCATTGTAAAGCTGAAGAAATTAGTCATTCAAGTAACTTCCTTAAAGTTATAAAAGTAGTAAGTGATGGAGTCAGGTTTGAAACCCAAGTCTATCTACACCCCAGTATCTACTCTTTTAAATACAATCTATAAGGAAGATCTTGAGTAAATTATGGAGCTAAAGTATAAAACCAAGATGCTAAGAGTATGTCTCAACTTTTTGCTCTTTTAGTCATGGGAAGCAAAAGGAAGTTAGAGGAGTATAATAAAATATGAGAAAAAGACATTCTAATGCATTATTATTAGTACAACCCCATCCAGAGAAGTGAGATCCTTACATTCATGTGCAATAGCCAAAGGAGTAGCAGAGACATCAAAAATAACTTTTACATACATTAGTCTTCCTACTATAACCTAGTAAAGAAGATACAGAAACCATGTTATTATCATTTCTTTAGAGGTACAGAGAATTTCAGAGCTGGAAAGGACACTGAAAGGGCACACTACAGTGGTTCTCTAATTTTTGAAAACATCACAACTGCTTGGAAAGCTTGTCAAAGGACTTATCCTAGAGCTCTTGGTACAGTTGGCTTGGAATGGGGCTGGAGGATTACTACAGCTATTAGGTGACATTGGTGTTGTTGGCCAAGAGAATATACTTTAAGAACCACTGACCTATCTGAACCTTAACATGGAACCTATTTCAAGCAAGTCATTATCCACTTACTTTCTGAATAAACTGTTCCAAAACAGCTTACTTCTAAACAAATTTCTAAAAAACGTATCTTGGAGAAAAAAATCCGCACCACATAAATAGTGCATCATTTTTGCCCAAATGACCTTTTTTTATGACATTATTCTGTGATGCTTTTGCAAAACTAATTCTTATCATTCCTTTTGAAGTGTTAAGCATCATTCACATTCAGATAAACAGAGTTTGTGGGACTGGCCCATAATTTAATATGTGAATACTATAATACAAAATTAAATGTGAAACAGACCTGGAATGTGGTTTAGTGGTAGAGTGCTTGCTTGGCATGTGCAAAGCCCTGGGTTTGATCCCTAGCACCTCCAAAAAGTTCAGAAAGAAAAAAACTAAAAGAAAACTAAAAGGAAGCAATAGCACATGACTATGAAAATCACATTCTTAAATAGGAATTAATAAATTTTACCTTTCAAGTGGGAATTCAATTATGGTATGAAATTTCCCCTGAAGTGCAGCAGGTCCTTCTCCTACTTCAATATATTTATTTTCAGTTACAATTGGAGAATTGACCTGGGCCTGTGTTCTTGCCTGGGCTTCCTCCAATGTCAGCAGCTTGGTAGATGGAGAGGATACCAGCAGGGATTTGGGCCTTGACAGAGAAGCTTCAAAAAGAAAAAGAAAGAAATGATGTAGTCAACAATTTTAGCATGTATCAACCTGTCTATCCTCTATCTGCCAATCAGTGTTGTATCATATTTCCTTCAGGTCCTTTAAATGGCAATAACCAAAGCACTTTACATCCAGAGAGAAACACAAAGTGACATAACCAGACCAAAGCCCCCCCCCCCAACTTCTTTAATAATTTATTTTCCCTTCTTAAAAGATAACCAAAAGGCATTTTTAGTTTTGGAAGAAATTTTTCTTCTCTGCTCCACAAAGTACCTTAATATACATCAATAAAAGGTGCCAAGACTTGTTTTATATGTCATGAACTTAGATCACAATAGGTCTAATATATAGTGTTCATTGTATTCACACAAAATAACTCAATTTGTGATTATGAAAAATGGACATAAATTCACTGTCTTCTAATGCCATATTTTAATTGAGACAAGCAATACAAAGTTTTCCATCCTTTAGAAGTTTAGATAAATGTTTCCAGGAGCAAATAAAATCTGTCTGTGTCATACCTGCCCCTTCCTGCATGACTGCACTGATTTTGCCACTGAAGAGCACGTCTACATGATTGAGTATGAACTCAACAACCACAGACTGAATCCTTACTTCCATGAAAGCGGCTGTTCCACTGAAACAGGCAGACTCTATCTGTTTTGATCTGTGAGGTAAACAACATTGCCATCAATTACAAACAGAACAGTCATAAAGAACATCTTTTAAAAATGTGTAAATCACAGGCAAATCAGAGAAAGAAATCATACTTTTATAGTAACTTAGCTAAGCCCCATACACCTATTTTGGGGAGATGCTAATAAAAGAAATAATTTGCCTTCCTCTTTAAATTTTTCCTTAACAAACACTGATGAATTACACTTTTGGTTCTAGTAATAGAATTAAAACAATTAGTTCTATTAAAGGTCATAAGACAATGCAAATTACCGAAGCAGGTTTGGAGCCCAGACAATTGCTAGATTTTTTGCATGCATATTTGTGATGGAACAGTAGTCCGCAAGAAGAGACAAGTGCCTCATCAGGAACTCCAGTGTTCTAAAAAATGAAATACAACATTTTAACAGACAAAGACTTTATGGAGCAGTATATAGCATAAAAGCCACTAGTTGATTTGTAAATTTTCAATAGAAAGAGACCATACAAACCCAAGCACATTTTTTGCTGCCTACTAAGTTCAAATATTATTAGAATTGAATTCTCCACAAAAGCTATTTTCTGGAACAAAGGACATTTTGAAGATATAATATTTACTTGCAATAGACAACTAATAAGAAAGGATTTAAATACTTCCATGAAAATGTTTCAAAGGCCTAAAATAAAAATTCCAACAGATATCAAGGGGAGAATATTTGAGCAACCACACACAAATATTATCTATCAGTTATCACATCTCAGTGTCCCTATATCTAATTGGATAGGGATTAAAACTATTAAAAACAACAAATGAAAGACAGAAATATAAGATTTTATTATTAGAAACAGCAATGAAAGTAAAATTGTGGTCTACATATGAGCCACAAAGATTCTGGAGGGCCTAACAAGCACTTGGGAGGAGCAGGAAGATAGCTTTTGGACTGGGAACCCTGTTTTGTCAGGGGGAATCTCATTTAATTCTCATAGTCTAATCACATACAGTATTCCCAGCTCCTTTGCAGGGAGGGAGAAGTCAAGGCTAGCCTGAAATTATACAGACAAGCAGTGGCAATGACAGGAGCCTGAAATTATACAGACAAGCAGTGGCAATGACAGGATTCAAATCAAGATCAGCATGGATTGAAACTGCCTGCTCCTTCAACAGCATTTATGGTAGTTTTTGTCCTTCCTGTATATAATCAGATAAAAAACACAGACAGCTGTCGTAGCTGGACACAGTGGTGTACACTTGAAATCCCAGCAACTCATGAGGCTGAGGCAGGAGGATCACCAGTTCAAGGACAGCCTCAGCAACTTTGCAAGACCCTCAGCAATTTTGTGAGACCCTGTCTTAAAACAAAAAAATACGTGTACACACACACACACACACACACACACACACACACACACTAAATAAATAAATAAATAAATAAATAAATAAATAAATAAATAAAATAAATTTAAAAAACAAAAAAAGAGAAAAGAAAAGTGACCTGGCCTGGAGATTATGTAGAAATGTGTCTAAAAGACAATGTAAGAAATAAAAAATTAAAATAACCAAAGATACCTATTTAGTTCATCTGATTATAAAGACGTTTTTAAAAGTTAATGGAGAATTTTAGTCAGGACCCCATGAAGTGAGCACTTTCATATTCAGCAGTTGAGAGTGGAAACTGCATAAACCTTCCTGGAATACAACTGGGGACTGTTTTATATTGAGAATAAGAATGTTAGTATACTTTGGTTTTCAGAATTGCACTGCTAGCTTTTTATCCTGAAAAAAAGTCTAGATTACATGTAAATGGATGATCCTCATAGTAATATTCAAAATTGGAAAAAAAAAACCAGTAGTACGTTGATCAAAAATCAAATTAGGGGAACATGAAAGAACACTTAAAATCATATTTTTCAAGAACATTTAAGGAATTAAAACATGTAAGTGTTAAAATCTTAGATTAAAAGCCTGAATCAAAAGATATAAAGTAGGACACATACGTATAAATTATATATAAGAAACTATAATATTACAAAATGAGAAGTATGTAACAAAAAATTATATATATTGTAGAGTAGAATAGATATATAATAAGCAATATATATAATTCAGGTTTGGCTTACTATGGTTATGTAATATAGATTCAGGTAAAGAGGGTAATATTAGGATCTACAATATACACACATATATTTTGTACACTATATATTCAAGCAACTGAATATATTGTGTACAAAACATATAAAATACACATGCAATGTATATTATTAAACACTTATTATGTTCAAGGCTTTATTCTGAAAATATAATGATAAACAAGACAGAATTTATGACCTTAAGAAGTTCATGTTTTAGAGAAGTTACATACTGAATAGGTAATAAATTATATATAAAAAACATATAGTCGGGGCTGGGGTTGTGGCTTAGTGGTAGAGCACAGCACTTTCCTAGCATGTGTGAGATACTGGGTTTGATTCTCAGCACCACATATAAATAAAGATCCATGGACAACTAAAAAATATTAAAAAAAACATATAGTCAGATAGGTATTCAATATATAATATGTTGAAGGAAAGATACCTAATATTTAATAGAAAAGACTACATAGATAGTAGGGGAGCAATATGAAATAAGAATGAAATTATGGCATTTGCTAGTAAATGGATGAAGTTGAAGAATGTCATGCTAAAAGAAATAAGCCAATCCCCCAAGACAAAGGTCGAATGTTTTCTCTGATATGTGAATGCTAATTCACAATAAGGGGGGCGGGAGTGCTAGGGAAGAACAGAGTTCTTCTAGGTAGTGGGGAGTGAAGGGAGGGGAGGAGATATGGGGATAAGAAAGATAGTAGAATAAAACAGACGTTATTACCTTATGTACATATATGACTGCATGATTGTATAATATATACAATTAGAAAAATGAAAAATTATACCCCATCTATGTAGGATATATCAAAGTGCATAAATGCATTCCATTGTCATATATAACTAATTAAAACAAAGTGAAAAAATAAAAAATAAAAAAGACTGAGGATGTAGTTCAGAGGTAGAGAATTCCTGGATTCAAACCCCTGTACTGAAGAAAAACAAAAAGGAGAAAGAGGAGAAGTGGGAGGAGGGGGAAAAGAAATTATCAGTATTCTGTTCATGAACATGAAGACTGTGTTTAGAGATATCACACAGGTAGTAAGGGATGGATTTGGAAGTTCCAAACTCAAGCCAACCTATCAAAGCCACTATTACCTTGTACCAGGTTCCTTTCACTGACGAGTTAATAAAGAATGTCTTCTCCCTCAATAATATTCTTTAAATAACTCTGTATTAATCAGACTTATCTCCCTGGCTTTCCTTTACAGTATAAATACATCAATTTTCTTTGGCTTATGTCATAAACGCTCCTTAATTTTCCTTTTTCACTATTCAATGGATTCTTAGATCCCTTTAATTTTATCAAATTTCTCCTAAGACATTAAAGAACAGTAAGTCAATGCTAGATTATCTTCTCGATCATGCCCATTACGCATTTGCATGTAGAGTGCTGATTTTAAAATATGGTCTGATTTTAGTACAGATTAAAAAAATGTTAGGTTGGTTTAGTGCTGAGTAGAGTATTGATTTAAAAAATGATATATAAGCAATGTCATTTTGAAAATAAATCAGCATTAAACTACTTATTTGTACTAGAATATGTGCTAAATTTAATTTCTTTTTAACAATTGAATTTTAAAAATGTCTTAATTCTTTTTGCATACTATAATATAAGGTTTCAACTGTTTTCTTTCTTTCACTAAATGGCAAAGCAATCCTTAATTTTATTCTGGTCTTCTCAGACATAAACAAAAATATATCTGAGAATTCAAACTAACATATAAATCAAACTGGGGTTTAAAAGGTAGCAACAAGAGAGTCTAGTTGAGTGGCAGAGGGCACCTTACTAGCATGTGCAAGATTCAAGGTTCAATTCTAGCACCACTACCAAAAAAAAAAGCAGCAAGACAAAATTAGAATACAATAAACCTAACAGAAAAAACAAACAGACAAAACCTCAGGTTTAGTCAAAACATATATGAATAAAATCCATTCCAGAGAAGTGGAACTTCAAGGAAATTAAAGTAATTAGAAACCCAAAGGAAGGGAAAAACCAACATTTTTACAAATCAACTGACATGCCTCTGGTGGATATTCACCAATGTGATTCACCTGTAGTGTGGTGGGGGGAGCTGCTGAATAACATCATGAATTTTTATCAGCCTTTCTTCATCTGTTGCTGCTGAAACGGCATCCTGTAACAACAGTTCATAACAGAATAAACCAGTAGGTTTTGCTGGTAAAAATTAGAGTTCTTCATTTATCATTCTGTTTTTCCTCTGAGATTATAAGATTAACTCACTTTATTCTTTGATGCTAAATGACAAGGAAACACAATAGAGCCTGAAGGATGTAAACTTTGTTTTCACACAATGTCAGCATTGGAATCTACTAAATCATAATGCTTAAAAACACAGGTGGTAAGGTCAGTGGCTCAGAATCAGAACTAAAAGAATGATAAAATGAAAACAGCAATCATCACCACAGACTAACTGGCAATAATTGGTGAGTTTTTTGTTTTGTTATGTTTTAAGGGGCTATTTAAGTCACAGAACTGTTTCTTACATGGGACCAAACCAAACATCATATAAATTAAACAAAAAAATAGCAGAGCTCTACACCAAGACTTTGAGTCAAGTATGACTGATACTTACAGAAAATTTCTCATACAGCTGGTAGGTGAGCAGAGGGTTTGGGAGCTCTCGGAAGTACAGCTTACAGAGGGAGCCCACCGAATGGATGTCTTGAACATAAGGTTCCTTCGTCAGGTCGGGGACATGCTCGGAGTCAAATTCATGGCTGACCCAGATGGATGAGGACAAAACAAAATTATGTGACTGAGAAAAGCAAATACATGACTTAAATCCTGAAAGCAACAATATAAAATGTTCTCCTCTAATTACAGTGAGTCTGAGATTTGTTTTCTTCAAATTAAAATTCATGTTAAGTTATATTTGGATTTCAGCAGTAACCAGATATATTATTATTAGAGAGATATCTATGTGGAAATTAAGGGCATAGCTTTAATATTAAAATGGAAATAATCTCTGGCCCAAAACACTCAACTTTACCTCAGTGAATTGCTATTTTCTTCAAATTATTAAAATTTACATAAGTTATATCTGGACTTCAGCAGTAAGTGGATGTATTATCACAAGATAAGCATCTTTCTAAACAGAAATTAATGGCATAGCTTTAATATTAAAATGGGCAATGACCTCTGAAATGCATTCAAAAGACTAGCTCTTACAGCACATCAATTTGAAAGCAGGATTCCAAATTTCTGATGGTTTGAATAACTAATACTTTGGCAACTCCAGAATCCAGGGTTGAGTAGCAACTCGTCTACAACTAGAGACAGAAACTCCTCAGCTACAAGTAGTATACAGCTCAAGCAGGATAAGAAAGCCAGAAACAATATAAAGCAATTCCTAGCAAATAACAAATTTTAATAGACAGTAAAATCTATAATATTAGAGTGAGTGAAATAAAAGCTGTGCTCTAGGGGCTGGGGTTGTGGCTCAGTGGTAGAGTGCTCACCTAGCATATTTGAGGCACTGGGTTCGATCCTCAGCACCACATAAAAATAAATAAATAAAATAAAGGTATTGTGTCCAACTACAACTAAAAACAAAATATTAAAAAAAATTGTGCTCTAAATTCTAAGGAAAATTAAATTTAATCTCCAGGAGGTTAATTAATATTAATTCATAGGCATGAAGCTAATTATCATCTGAAGAATTAATGTGTGTGGACAATATAAATATGAAATTTACCATGTCTGAAATTAAAGAGTAAATAGTCTTCAGTACAAAAACTGATTTAAGTGCTTTCTAACATGTATTCCTAAAAACAAAGATGAGCTCTGTGGTTAATTAAAGTAGTAAAATTTCTACAGAATAGTGGCAGTTACCATGCATCACAGTGAAAAAGAAATAACAGTATATCAAGAATAGCCCAGAATCCAAGCGGTAAGCAAAAATAAAATTTGTATTTTATTATATAGAGGATATCACTACTTTTATCTCATACATAAACATACACTATTGAATTAGGGTCAAAGGAGATTAGAAAAGGTTTCACTCACATCAATTTTAATTAAGAACCAAAGAATAATTTATTATAATGTAAATTTTACCCCCATTGTTGTTATGAGTTCAGACTCATTTGTTAATAACTTCAAACATCACAAAGAGGAAAAGAAATACACAATACAGTACTGAAGAGGTTAAGGTGCATGGTTCTCTGACACTACAGATAAAGAAATGCCATTTAGCAGAATATGATGCTAAGTGAAGTTAGCCAATCCCAAAACCAAATGCGAAATGTTTTTTCTGATATAAGGAGGCTGATTCATAGTGGGGTTGGGAGGGGAAGCCTGGGAGGAATAGACAAACTCTAGACAGGGCAAAGGAGTGGGAGGTCAAGGGAGAGGGAATGGGGGTATGAGAGACGGTGGAATGAAATGGACATCATTACCCTAAGTACATGTATGAAGACACAAATGGTGTGAATATACTTTGTATATAACCAGAGATATGAAAAATTGTGCTCTATGTGTAATATCTGTAAGGCATTCCACTATCATATGTAACAAATTAGAATAAAAAACTTTAAAAAAAGAGAGAACAATATGGATAAAAAAATATACAGAGACAACAATATGGATATTATATCCTATTTTATCTCAACTATCTTAACAAAATTATGATTATCAATGTAAGTTACTCAGTTTTGAAATAATTGCATTTTAATGAGCTAATCAGGAATAAAAATAAAAATGCCATGGACAGTTATTACCGTAGTCTCTGGATATTGGAGGCAACTCCAGAAAGACGATATATTCCATCCACAATGCCATATCTCTCAATGAATGCTGTGCAGCTTTGGAGAACCTGGGGAACTAAAGAAAAATTTCATATACACAGATAAAACTGGTAGTATTCCATGGAATGCAAATTACCAAAAATGTCTTATTTTAATAAGAAGCATAAAATTTGTAAATTAATAATAAAAGGGGAGGGAGGATTAATTCACTACAAAAATGATGAGGGCATGTGTACTTAACTTCACACACAAAGTACATTAGTAGTTCCTAAATAATCAAGACTGACTTGGTTCATAGCTCCACAGGAAAGTCTCCAGAGCTTTCTGCAGTGAATTTATTGACTCATGTTACAACAGAAAGGTGAACTATTCAACCTTAACACCATAACTGGTTAAAATAAAAATACAGCTGTTTGGCTGAATTTCATACACAGTAAATGGATATACAAAGTCAAATGCTTATTCCAACAAGTTACTTTTAAGTGCTACAATATTTCACCTCTTAAAAAGATTTATTTCTCATAGTTAATGTTAATTCTAATTTTATTAAATAAGCAAAATATCATCAGAATGCAAAGGTCAAAGCAATTTCAAATAGATGTAATCTTCTCACTCCATGCTTATCTTTACACTAAATTTACTTATTTTTTACTTGATATTATCCAGTTTTCATAAAGAGAACTTTAAGGGTAAATAGAAAGTACTTTCTGGTTAGCTTAGTGAATATACATATCTGAATGACTATTTTGGGGGTCTCTGGTCTGGAGTAGAACTTTTAAAATATATAATAAAAATTTTCATAACCATTCACAATTTTATAATAGCTGAGATGTGAAAACTCTTCATTTTCTAATGCAGACTAGTCAATTTATAGGCTTTAGTGACTATGATCATTTGATAATGTTAATTAAAATTTCTGAGAAGAAACACTTCAAAGAATATTATATGGTCTGCAAAACGCAGACTAAAGATGAAATATTCAGAGTGGCAAATAAAACAAATGAGATAATTAACATACTAAAATTAATAAGAATTTTAGCTAATGTATTTCATTTTCAGTATATAAATAAGTCATTCCTTTATTATTACATCACATTTTTCTTTGGTTTTCCTTTTTTTTTTTGCTGGTCTTTCTTATAATCTATCTTTTAAATCCTGTCAAATCCTATAAATTGTGTTAAAACTTGAGCTTCTTCTCTTTGATTAAAAAACTAAACAGCAGTTCATAGTGCAGACCACTTCATACTGTCAAGTGGAGTGCCTTTACAATGTACATGCTCTAATTCTCACCAATATCCTATGGCAAAGTCTTATTGTAATCCCCATTTTACAGAAAAGAAACTGCCTCTGTGATGACATTTTTACCCAAGGGCAAACAGGAAATGGTGATGAATTAAGATCCTGACTCAAACAATCCAAGCACAGAGTCAATGCTTTAAACTTAGGGCAATGTAGTGCTTCCCCGGCTTATGCACTGGCGATGAAGAGCAGCAGAACTGCTGGGCATTTTTTTGTGGACAGATTTTGATGTAAGCAATCTGTGTGTAAATGAAATGTTAAATATAAGTATCTTTATAAGAGCTTGAGTTCTATTTCAGATATTGTTCTATGAATGATAACCTTAGGTTTCTGCCTTAGGTTTCTACTCTATAAACTAGCAGTAGAATAATAAAATTAGGGGTTAAATATTTCCTGTCACCTACTTTAAATGAAATATAGTTAGAGATTACTGGAATAATTAACATAATTACTTACAGAAAGATAAAAAACAGAGCTTTAATTATTTTTCTTTAAAAATGCTTCTCTTACGTATGCTCCAAATTAGCATGCTAACTTACCCAGGTACCCAAAATATTGGCTATGGGAGAAAATTCTACAAGCACAGGATTTTATTTCCATATTATTAGGCTCTCCTAGCATACATTAAATTTTTTTTTCAAAATAAGCTGCCATTTACAAAAAAGGATCACATTCACTAGATTTCTACATCCACTTGATAATAGATTCATACCTGCTAATATTCTCCCAAATAAGTAGGAAAATTTTGAAAACATACAGAATAAAAGATTTTTCCCTGGATAATGTGAAAACCCCTATGGACATAATACTTCATGGGAAATGTCTGCATTGCTTCTTTTTATTGGGGAGGGGTGTACCAGGGATTGAACTCAGGGGCAATCAACCACTGAGCCATATCCCCAGCCCTATTTTGTATTTTATTTAGAGACGGGGTCTCACTGAGTTGCTTAGCACTTCACTAAATTGCTGAGGCTGGCTTTGAACTCAAGATTCTCCTGTTTTGGCCTCCCGAGCTACTGGGATTACAGGCATGCACCAGTGCACCCCATTCTCTGCTTTGCTCCTTTACATTTCATATTCCTTAACTAAAAGAACTCAACGATTACAAAACAATCACATCAAACTTAATAAACAAAATTGCATGATAACTACTTAAAATTTTAAGCAAGATAAATGATTTAATAGCCATTCCCACCCACAATCATTTAACAAATGAGCCAAATGCACATGAAAAAAATGACCCCAGTCAAAATAGAACATCAGAAACCTCCAAGAGAATATTTGACTAAAAATTATTCCCATGCGTACCAAATAATACAGTTTTGATTTTTTATACAACCACATGACAACTGAATAAGAGGAAATGTTTAAATAAAAACTAGTAATCCTTTTAAGTAGAATTGTGGCTTACAGAAGTAGGAATAAGTATAACAAAAATTGGCCTTTAATTTTTTTTGACAGTCATGGTTTTGTTGTTCTTTTCTCTTCATTCATTCATTCATTCATTCATTCATTCATTCATTCACTATCTCACTTACCAACTGTCTTCTTACTAAGTCACTTCTGTCTGTTAGGCATCAAGTAGGTTTTGCCAGAACAGATGAAAAAGAATTTTTTTTTTTTTTTTTGTGACGAAGTGGCTTCCAGGTTAAGAACACAAAAAGGGACTGGGGATGTGGCTCAAGCGATAGCGCGCTCGCCTGGCATGCGTGCGGCCCGGGTTTGATCCTCAGCACCACATACAAACAAAAATGTTGTGTCTGCCGAAAACTAAAAAATAAATATTAAAATTCTCTCTCTCCTCTCGCTTTAAAAATAAATAAATAAATTATTTTTTTAAAAAAAGAACACAAAAGGTAGTATAATATAGAATAAGCATCATGATTCTTGGTTAACAAATTATGACTACCTAGAGGATTAACTTTGGGGTGATTTGGGGCTTGTTTCTTTCTACTGTGCTCTGACTATAATATTCTTGCATATATGCAATAGTTTAAAAAGGTCTCTTGCTGAAAGGAATGAATAACTTCAAACCGAAACAGATATATACATATGTGCAGGCAAACAGAGTTTCCTCTTCTTTGGTTTTAAAGTATCTTTTTTACCAAACCTAACTTTACCTATTTTATCCAAAGTTCTATTTTTTTTATTAGCAATCTAATTTCAAACTTTTAAGGAAATCCTGTTTTAAATATGTGCAGCAAATAAAACAAGTCCTATGAATAAAAATCAATAATACTTAAAACTTTGTTCCACTGGAATGGATTCTGTTGTAATTAGGGACTATGCAAACACTGTAGTTAAATCTTTCATTTGTTGAGAAGAAATGAGATATTAGCATCTGTCCTCATTTATCATTCTTATTAAGAGTGGAAACATACATAAAATTTCTAAGGTCCAACTCAAATTTGCTGAATTAATCTCTGAAAGTTAGTGAGCATGGCAGAATAACTTGGAAAATGTGGGCTCATATTAATGATCTCACCTAGGCAAGGTTGCACAACAGCAAACGATACCAAAAAAAATCAATGTAACAAAAAACCATTTTGATTCTATAATTAAGAATGCCCCATGCAGAAGGCAAATTAATCTAATCTACACATAAAAATACTCTGTGGGCAAAATTTTTTTAGAAATTTGGTTCTATAGGTAACTGTGATATAAAATCTTTAATCAGTTAGATTATAAACATTGTGACAAGTGAAACTCTGTGAGATCATTCTGAGTGAACACTGGCACCAGGTACCACAAATTAAAGAATAAAAAGAAAACTGCCTTGTCAGGTTTGTAGGTGATTTCTTAAAACATCTTTCATTTTATTTTATTTATTTTTTTGGTACTGGGGATTGAACTCAGGAACACTCAACCACTGAGCCACATCCCCAGCCACATCCCAGCCTATTTTAGTTAGAGACAGGGTCTCACTGAGTTGCTTAGTGCTTCACCCTTGTTGAGGCTGGCTTTGAACTCTATATTCTCCTGTCTCGGCCTCCTGAACTGCTGGGATTACAGGCATGTGCCACCACACTCAGCTTCTTAAAATATTTTTTATAGAAGAAACAGGTCAGGGTTGTCTCTTGCTCGAACTGGGAGGTGCTCAAAACTTTAGAAAGTGTAACAAGGTAATCTCACTATAATCATTCACTAGGAACACAATTCAGAGAATGAGTCACTTTAGAAAAATCATTATTCTGAATGTGCTTCCTTTTCGGAAAAATCTGATGAAAAGTCTATCTTGTTTAGGGTAAAGACATCACAAGTCATTTGGAGCTTAACAATAAGGACACATTTTGAGAAATGCAAAGTTAGGTGGTTTCCTTTTTTTTTTTTTTTGCCAACAATAGAGTATACCTAATATACAGATCTGGATGGGACAGCTTACTACACACCTTGGCTATATAATATAGCCTAGCACTCCTTGGCTATAAAGCTGTCCAGCATATTAGCACACTGAATACCATACACAATTGTAGCACAAGGGTGAATACTTATGTGTCTACACACAAAAAAGGTTAAAATATGGTATAAAATGTGCACCTACTAGAGGACACTTACATGCATGGAGCTTACAATACTAGAAATTGCTCTGGGTGAGTCAGTGAGTGAGTGGGGTGAATGTGAAGGCTACAAGCACTAGAGTACACTACTGAAGACTATATATACTGTACCTGAGATTTATAAAAATAAATTTTCTTTACTAATAAATTAACCTTAGATTAAAGTAACTTTTTACTCTATAAACTTTAAAATTTTTTTAACTTTCTCAATTGTACAGTA